TTGACGTACCAATATTTGGTATACTTGTGACTTGAATCCAGAAACCATTTTCAGTCTTCTCATGATCACTCTTGAATGTAATCCAAATCTTCTTACCACTTGAAGTAAAACTGGTTGGTCTGATTAAACCTGATGCATGAACATCAGTTTCAGCTGATACAACATCACCATGACCAATATCAAGCCAATCAAAGTGTTCTTCAGTGGCAAAGTATTCAAAATTCACCCTTATCTTTGAATTTCCATCAACTTCAATAATCCACCAACAGAACTCATTATCTGGATAGTTTCTTGGAAATTGTGGTGAGAATATGTTGACGGTGTGATTGACACTAATAGTTGTATTGCAAATAACACCAGCTCCATGCAATGGAACCAAGCTGCCTTCTGTACTGACATCTCTTCTACGTCCTATTGACAATTAAAATGAAAGTGTAACTAAAGCGCAAACATGATAAAACCAAACCTTATATTGAAAATTCAGTCAAACTAAAAAAATGGGCAAATGTTGTTTAAATCATCAATTCAATTCAATGTGAAAAGTAATGAAAAAAAATGTTCATAATTAAACTTACTTCCGCCAATACATATGTATTGATTTCCAGCATAGTAACACATTTGATTTGATGGACATGGATCACTGCTGCATGGAGTAGTACCTGTGTCAGCTTTTAATCAAAAGACAAAGATAACACATAGTTATACATTTGACTTAGACCGTGTTGATTAACTAAGGTTAAGGGGGGGGGGGTACCCAAGAAAATGTGATAAACAAGTGAAAGTATGTCTACAGAATGCGAGAACAGAGATGTGAAGTAGTTTTTGTAGTGAGTAATACTACATTATTTGCAAAATGAGATTGACGAAAGACAAACATGACATGTATTTCTCAGCAGTGGCTCCACAGTGGATGTCACATTCGCAGTTTGAATAAGCAAATAAAAGATTCTAAGCAAGAACTATTATTAAATATTGACAGTACCGGTACAATTAATTTCTGGATAAAACTGATAATAATACATACGTGTTTGACACTGAGTTCCTGCATAACCTGTGGCACATGTACATGTATAATAGGTGTTGAAAGCAACACAGGTACCACTATTCTGACAAGGATTACTAGAACATGGATTGGTTGCTGTAAAAAAAATTAAAATGTATATATATATTAATGGGTAATAAGCATAACCATAGCTTGGCTTGGTGTTAAACTGATAATTGATGCCATGGAGAGTAGGAAGAAGTATACAGATAATATTTAATATTTTTCCAATGTACAATGTACTTCTTATATATTAGTTTTCTCATTTTTTTTTTACTTTTAGATGTTTTTGTTGTTATTATATTTTGTTGGTATTTTAGTTCATGTAACTTAGTTTCTATTTTGTCTATCAAAAGTTTTTTCATTAGTCTTTGAGTGAAATGTATTATTTATTTGGTGCAACTCCTAATTAACACAGTTACAAAAGGAAATGATCAAACAAACAAACAAACAAACAAACAAGCAAGCAAGCAAGCTAACAAACATACAAACAAACAAACAAACAAACAAACAAACAAATAAATGTATAGAAACATGACATGCTGGAATTCATCCTCAAATGAAAAAAAATGTGTAAAGATATGAACTATACTCCTCATTATCAACAAATCAAGAGTGTACACAAACATTTCTATTTTATATTCACATACATGTACATGTGTTTAATGCACAGTTGAAAATGGGAAGGCAACTCACCACAGAGTGTGCCAGAAAATTGTGGAAATGTTTTTGAATGCAAAAATCATTCATTAAAATTGGTGTTTTAAAATGTATACAGCAAACACAATTTGCCAGAAGCTAATGCCAACTGACAATTTAGACAGTGGAACAGGCAGTTTCACAGAGTGTCAAAAGTTGAGTCTTCTGTACAAAAAACCTAAACTGTGAATATATTTGAAAGAAATTCAAACTAAGGTATTCAATGAAAATGACTGTACTATGTACATTGTTTAATATACAAGTTGGGTTTGACACTTGAAACATATGTGTTACTAGAGAATCAATGTCCAACCAAGTTTTTTAAAACACTAGTTTTTATAGCAGCTTTCAAATCACAAAGTAATTTCAATTACACTGATGTGATGAATTATTTCTACAATTCGCGCCGAAAGAGACATTCAAGTACCTCAAATTAAACAGTTAACCCCGTTGTCCAGTTCTTCCAGGATTGACTATGTGGATACAATTAACAGCTAGCTGTTTATAAATGTTGTTGTTTTTCAGTGAAGCAATTGATATTTCGAAAAATCTGATTTTGATGGAAGAAGATTGCGCTGTCAGACAACTGTGGATTTCAGCAAAGCCACTTCATTAAGGCTGACTTCCTGGAAATGTTCCACAGACTAGGGGAATATTGTGATTTTTATGTAAAGATGATAGTTTATTTTTGTGACATAGAAATTTAGAAAACATTCTACAGAATTACATTGTATGATAGCAATTGTAACAATTTGCTCTTACCTATAATTTCACAGGTATTACCAACCCATCCAACTGTACACATGCAGACTTTACTGGTAATGCCTGGACCATCGTTATCAAAAGTATTGTGACAAGTCCCACCTGACTGACATGGATTAGTACTGCACATGTTCAGATCAGGATAGTCAGCTATAACAAACAATACAAATACAGACAATCATTATAACTTGTTTTTATTAGAGGGCAATGGTCACTTCTGCAGTTTGAATATCCCACTAAAACAAAATTTTGATTTGCAGAGCAGAAATTTCACCAACAATTAATAAATATTAAAGCACAAGTGTTTTGACATGCAACTACTTGCTGTAATTTATCTTAATTCACACATCAGTTATTAAGTTACAAAATTAATTAATCCTCCATACTTTTTGATTGCATGAAATACATACACAAAATTCACATCTTTTTAGCAAATTAGCAAATAACCCCTCAACTATAGAAAGCCGTTATTCTTTGAATAGCATGTTTGCTGCCAGATGGTAGGTTCAACATTTAGCACATTTTTATGCGTTTTTCATTCATTTCTTTATAACTGTTTGATCAAATAAATATAATTTCCGATTGGCTACATGTCAGGATCACAATTTATGAAAAATATAAGAAATTTTCTCTCTGAGTGTATCTCCAATAGAAGCATTATATAAACTAACAGTTACATTTATTGTATACTAAATCATTAATTAAAATACCACTTATGTATGTGAATTACTTGAAAAATAATTTTGTAAATGGGATTTATGTAAAGTGCATGCGCTACTAATTAAGCAAAAATAGCATGCACATTTATTTTGTGAGGTGTGACAAAAAGTTGACTGGCATTCAAAAAAATAAAAAGTGACATGAATGTGAATCAATAAAAGATTGATTGAAAATAGTTGAGCAAAGATCAGAACTTACTTATAGGAGAGTCACAGTTAACACCAAGGTAATTGCTATGACATACACACACATACAATGACACTGGTGATGTCAAATAAGTACTATGATATGTGTTGTAACAATTAGAGAGAGAATGGCAAGGACTTGACTGGCAGGCATCCAGTGATGGTGTGCTTTCTGTAACATACAATATACAAAAGATAGAATGAGAATTCAAAATATTTGGAAAATATCTAAAATGTAATTTCTATAAAAAAAATTTTAAATTGGGCATATACAAACGTTACAACAAAAATAATTCAGTAAAAATGACCATTAATTGCAGAGTTTAAGAAGACTTTGATCAGAAGGCCCAATTACATACATATTAAAGAAAGTCAATGGCTAATAAGTCACTATGGGACCAAGAGTGGAAAGAAAATTAGCTAGCAGTCACCTTCAGAGGGAAGGGGGTATTGTAATCATGATCCAAAAGATTTTAAAAATTCAGCTGAAAATGAATTCATGAGTTATTTTTCACAGTGAAGCTAAAAATCGAAAAGTACGCGATTTTAACTACCTCTGCTTGATCCACAATTTGTTCCAACATAGTCAGGCCTACATATGCAGGTATATTGACTGTTACCATTATTCACACAGGTAGCACCATTCAAACATAGATTCTGCAGGCACATGTTGGTACTTGATACAACTAATAGAAAAACAATTAGCATGCAATGAATTTTTGAAATAAATTCATTTTTAACAACTTAATGCTATTAGAAAATGTTATGTGAAGTTGTGACTGTAAAAGCATTAAACTTTCCCTGAAGATACTGTTTATATACATGTATATATACTAAGTAACATGTGTTTTGTAATAAGTGCCTGATTATAAAATTCACACCACCACAACAGTTATACATACATGTACATAGCAAGTAAATGATGTAGACACTACCATTGGACCACAGTATAGTTTTACACATACTTACATGTTTGACACTGATTACCAGTCCATCCACTTGCACACTGACAGCTGTATGAACCCGATCCTAAGTTGGTGCATGTTCCACCATTCTGACATGGGAAATTGTCACATGGATTTGTGGTTACAACTACAAAAAGAATATTTTGTTCAATATTATTACTCAAAAAAGACATACATTTACATTTATATAAATGAATGTCAGAATAATCATTCTTACTACAACATTATTCTTGAAGTCATTTTCTTAGGTCAATTGACTGATCAATGAAAAGGAAATACAGGTATATGGATTCAAGATTATGAAATTGTACATGCATGTTTATATACTTACATGTTTGACACTGATTACCAGTCCATCCACTTGCACACTGACAGCTGTATGAACCCCCTCCCAAGTTATAGCATGTTCCACCATTCAGACATGGGGAATTGTCACATGGATTGGTAGCTACAACTAAAAAAAAGAATATTTT